TATATATATATATATAGTCAAATATTGATCCCTTGTCAGATCTGTGATTTGTAAACATTTTCTTTCATTTGATAAACTGCATTTATCTTATGGATTATTTCCTTGTCTCACAGAAGGATTTCTCCCATGATTGAGTTCACTTACCAACTTTGATTTATTACCCTTTGCCTGACATCTAGAAAAGCATTTTTTTTAAGACCATGGTCAGGAAGCTTTACACTTTTTCCAGAGGATTTTATGATTTCCTTCATTAAAGTCTTAATGAATTTTCAGCTGATGAATGCATATGGCACGAGACACAATTCACTGTGATTCCTCTCTGCACATATATGCAGACTCCAGGATCCTCTGTTCAAGAGGATGTCCTCTCTATGTTGGAGGTTCCTGGCATTGTTGCTGGGAAGTGGAAATAATGAAAAAAGATATTATGCTATCATAAAAACCAAATATGTAGATCAGTATAAAAGAAAAAATTAGAAATAAACCTAAAATCTATGCTCATTTTACCTCATATTAAATAACATTTTAATTCACAATAAAAGCACTAAAATTTTTATTGTAATTGGTGCAATTAATTTTCAGAAGTACAAAATACTTTTCTGAAGCTGTCAAGAAAAATTCATACTATATGTTTTGACACGTGATAAAATGATCAATTCCTTCTATTTTTCCCTTTTTCTTATATATCACAATTCTGATTACCTGTACGTATGATTCTTTGTTTAAAGAAGTTAACAGTATTTATGTTTGTTGAAATAGGAGATAAGTTTTCTGCATTATTTCAGGCTGATTAATGAACCATTGGATTCTGTCAGTCAAGTAAAATGCCAATAAAATAGAAATAAGTCCAAGGGACTGTTAGAGATCAAGCTCTGGCCTTGTATGTGTGAGGCCCTGAGTTTGAACCCCATGCTACCACAAAAGAAAAAAGTCAATTACTGTAAAAAATAAAGCTACAGAAACTAGTTACTATCTATAATTAAACTTTCAATACTGATTCCTATTTTGGGAAAGAATAGCTACAGTCAAAATCAGAGCCTCCTTTGTCTGTTAGTATGTTCATATTAATCATGCTTAGTGCCTTGCTTCTGCCAGATGTTTCTAACCACTTACTTGTTGTGTTTTGTCTTCTGTCAGCACAACAGTCTCATTTACATGATTCAACCTTACACCTCAGTAATAGTATTTCTTGTAATGTCTGAAAAAAAAACTTTTGTTTTCTTGTAGGTGAAACGGTCACTGGAGAACTTTCAAAACTCCTGGATGAAATAAAACTCTGTCAAGAGAAGGATTATTCCTTTGAAGATTTGTGCCATACGATCTCAGACCACTACTTAGATAATCTGAGCAAGATTTCAGAGGAAGAGCTTGGAAAAAATGGAAGCCAGAGCGTAGTAAGTAAGGGGGAGGGGAGCAGACAAAGACACCATGTCTATCTTTCCAGTTCAGTGCCTGTCCCTGTGGCATAGGATTTGTTGATTGATTAGATGATTGAATTCAGTGACGACCAAATGTCGCTGTCCCTAATAGTCTTTCTCTGCTGTTCATTGGGTTGCTTACTCTGCAGATTATACAGGGTAAGAAAGGCCGGGTAGAAACTAAGGGTGTAGCTCAGTGGTAGAACACTTGTTTGATGTGCAATACTTCAAAAACAATACTAATAGTCTGTGATGGTATTTCTACTATTACAGTTCATTTTGTGACATGGAAGCTGCCATTTCTTTGAACATGGAGGATATTTAACCGGGCATAATTATCTCAACTCCTGAAAAAGAAAACATTTCTCTTGTTTGTCCTCCCCGCATTCTCCCAAGTCCTTTTCAAAACAAAGATAGTGTCAAACCATGTATATAATTCTTCAGTTATTGTGACAGTCATGGTGAAATAGCTCAGCTTACGTGGTTCAATGATATTAGCTGTCCAGAGATTCTCACTTATGACCTCAGAATCTAAAGTATGAGCTGGATGTTCTTGTTCATTATGGATTTTCATACCAACAATAGCAAGAAAGATTGTAGTCAGTCAGTTTTAAATTTTGAGTTGTAAACATACCTTTGGCCTTATGAAGGAATGATTTATAGTATGTAGAAGTATTCAAGGGAACAGATATTTTGATATTAACCATTTATTCCCTTTCAGGACCTAGTTTGTTAGAGCAGTGTTGTGCTTCACTTGCCAGTGACTAATAGAGCAGAGTGCCATAAGTATGTCATAGTATTCTGAAAATTAAAAAAGCATCTAAGTATGGTACCTGGGAACCATTTTGGAAATGTGCACTTCATCTAGTTCCTTAAAGTGAGGCGTGACACCGATTCTCCACAAAGCACCTGCTGATCTAGTTCAATGGCTAAACTTACCTCCTAGGCCTACTTTTTTGTTGTTGTTCCAATTTGCTTTTCTGGGCTGTCACATCATCCCCCTTCCTCCAGTTCAGAGCTTGAATAACTGCATATGCATCACACCAAAAAGCTTATAGGTTTTACAAAATGAAAATCTACTAATGAGATGTTCAGAGTAAGCCAGCGTAAAATTTCCTTTTAAATATCCAAAACACACATGCGCTGTATGAAAAGTAAAGCTTATTACATCTCAACACCTTCTAGAAGGCTGCTTAGAAATTTAAACGGAGTTGTGCCGCACAACTAATATATGATACCTGATACCATATGATGTGATATCTAACTAATATATGATGCTATGACACCCATCCTTAAATATCCCTATTGAATGGTAAATTCAAGCTTCCTCCTTTTAAACCTATAGCTTTACACAAAGCCCTCATTTTATACATGGCTGACATCTAAAGAATTTTTTTGTTAAATGTATTTGTAATTGCTAAGCAGGATCTTGCAGTTGCCTAGCTTCAGAGAATATTAAGCAGAGTACCATATCTTCTTAAGAATAGGAGGGAGACCATAACTCAAGCAGTGTACCATATCTTCTGAAGAACAGCAGGTAGATCATAATTTAAGGCAGTGTACCGTATAGACCATGACATGTTTCAAGGCACAGGCCAAGAAGATTTTGTACTTTTCCACCACCTGGCCCCTCTTACCCACTCCCCTTGTAAAACATGCTATAAAAAAGCATTTCATGTTCAAAAAAAAAAGAAATTAAAAAAAATAAATAAAATCCATGACACAATAAAAAAAATGTATTTGTAAACAAACTGGAACCAGCATCCTAATACATTGGTATAGATATGGGTACACACACACACACACACACACACACACACACACCTAGTGCTACATTTGTAAACCATGAGAGATTTACTGTACAAGAAATCAAGAAATTTAGAACTATGAAAAAAGCGACAATGTAAAGCAGAAGCCATAGTTGTTTTTCTTTTACTCTGTATCCTGTGTTCCCCGGGGGCCTGTATTCCGCTCTGAGAGTGGGATAATAGGTTGTAGGGAGTGATGACAGACTGGTGGCTGGATGGTGTACACTTTGGAAAGGGTGGCAGCTTTGTTTTCTTACCTGGAGGTTTCACTGTGGTGGCGGCAAGGGAGAAATTAATGCTCATATGTTGAACTTAAGTCTTTTAAAGTTTAGCCCAGGTATCCCTACACTCCTTGTTCTAGTGACAAATCATTATAACAATATTGATAATATTGATAGTATAATAATATACATAACAATAAGCTACTGTCATACAAAAATACCGAAGGCTATATGAGGCAGAACAGCAGACAGTGTACATAGGATCAAGTAATTCTATTTATTTGTAATGGACTCCACCAAGGGGGAAGGATGCAAAATAAAATTAGAAGCATGAATGAAGCTAGCTGTGGGGTGGTCTGAATGCCAGGCTAAGAATTTTGGTATTTATTCTTTAGGAAATGAGAAAAGCATGAAAAATTTTGGGCAGGTAAAGGACATCATTGGAACTGGCCTTTCAGAGAATGAATCTGATAGAAACTGGTCATTGCACTTTAAAAAAGTAATCAGATTTCATTGACCTTCTCTATGGTCTACATTTTATTTGTTATTCATTCTGTCTGTCTAGTGTTTGTCTCCATTCGTTGAAGTGTTTTTCTTGAGTATAACTATAAATCTTTCCCTTGTTATACAACCAGGTTAATAAAGTACTTTTTGGCTGCCTAATATAGGCAGCTCTTGCCATGTTTAAAATTATATAGGTACAGTAAGCAAGACTGTAGGTGACTTCAGAGAGTTCTAAACCACAATCCCAAGTAGCCTTCAATTGCTGTTTGTAGACAAAGCTAACATATAAAACAAATGCATATATTCGATGCTTAATAGGTCCACGCTGTACCCTGTTCTCAGGCTTTGTATAATTTAAACCACTGAGCAAGCCTAACAAGGAAAAGATAGATGCAGGAAGTGAGTCAGCTAGCGCATACCACAGTGAGGATTTAAATCAGTGGTTCTCAACATGTGGGCTATGACCCCTGTGGAAACATCTGTCTCAAAAAATATTTATGATTCATAATGTTAGCAAAATTGCAGTTATGAAGTAACCAAATAATTGTGTGGTTAGGGGACACCACAGCATGAAGAACCCTATTAAAGGGTCGTAGCATTAGGAAAGTTGAGAACCACTGATTTAAAACTAAGAGATGGTATTTTAATTTCTCAACTGTATTTCTTATAGGATCTTTTATAGTAACTTACCCTGTGGCCAACGGAGCTTTAAAAGATGAGAGATCAGAGATCTACAGGTATCCACTGAAAGCTTGCTATGGGTGTAGGTTAAGATTAAAATAGGTCCCGGAAAAAGGGGAGATGTGCCTTTCACATATTTTGAAGTGAATGGATAAGGCATACAGCCTGAAGAAATGGTATGTGCAAAAGCAGAAGTCACAATCCATGTACAGCTTGCAAAGAATGTTTTACCACAATGGAGATAAAAGTTACACGAATAGTGATAAAACCTGATACACAGCAATCCTTCAAAGTGGACATTACAGTGAGAGAGGGAAGACTCAAAGAGGGAGAATCCTCAGTTCAGATCCTGGCTCTGAAACCAGAGTCATATCATATATCACTCCCCATGTCACCAGAGAACAAAGGCCAATCAGGAAAATAATGTACAGGGGAATTTCCTAGAATGTGATATTTTGGAAGGTAAAGATGCAGGTTGTTTCATATTCTCAGAATGAACAATGGTTCTCATCAATGGCGTTGTCTTAGAATAACCAGGAAAGGCTTTAAAATCCAAGCATAGATATGTCAGGTACCAGACTCCCTTAGTCAACAGTCATTGGATATGGATATGGGTTGGATATGGATATGTCATGGGAGCTGGATCTGATGGTGCATATCTGTTAGTACCAGGATTTAGGATGCTGAACTGGAGTATCATACATTCAAGCCTTCCTGGGATATACAACAAACTTGAAGCCAGCCATGGCCAGAAACCAAGACCCTGTTTGGAAAAAAAGTTGTTCTAAGCACCATTTTTTATCTATAAAGAACCCCCTCCGTGTACACAGTCTAACCAGGCACACAGTTGACCTGGTGACAGAAATTCTGCCAGGACCTTTATAAGCCAATTCAGGTCTACAATGAGAGTAGACCTTTAGCTCCTAATAACATCACACGATTGTAACCGTTTTTTGAGCCAGCACAGATCTTGTACATCTTACAGCAGCTGCTAACTTCTTCAACTCTCGAGCATAATAGTTCTTGTTTAAGTTCTGGAACTAGGGAATATCCTAGGTTTGACTCTTAAACAAGTTACTGTACATTATGTAGCTTGAAGACAAACATTTCCCATATTCCTGGAGGCTGCAGGCAAAGCTGGCATCCACTAAGAGCCCGCCTCCTGGTATGGGTGTGACCGCCTTTTGTAGTCATACTGTTTCCTTACATGACTGGGGACAGGGAAAAAGCCAGCTCTCAGTTGGCTTTGCTTGTAGGCATTATTCCACCACTGAGAGCTATGTGCTCATCACCTGGATACCTCCCAGGGTCCTTTGCTTTACTCTCACTGGGAATTGGTCCATCAGTATGTGTATCAGGAAGGGGTAGAAACTCCCTTCTTACCAGGAAGGTTTTTCCTTGATAACGAAAGAAAATTCAAACATGCTCTGACAACAGTTCGAACTTACAAAATTATTTTTGTGCCATATCAAAGCTTTAAATGTAGAAAACCATTTTTGTTTGTTGTTTATATTTCTAGCAATATGATGAGCAGCCAGATGAATGTGATTTAGTTTTAGATGCCCTGAAATGTTTGGCTGGCTCATTTTGGTGCTATGCATCATTGCAAAAGTAATTAGGGAATTACAGAATAAAAGGAAAATATGTTCCGAATCTCACATCATTCATACATGTATTTTACACATTAGTGATAGAGCTTAAACTCAGTATTTTTAGCTGTTTACCTTTCTGAGTTCAATGCAACTTTCCTTTCCTCTTTTAT